TCTGAACTGGCTGGCGCAGTTTGCTGAGCCCAGCGAGGCTGTCGACAACGTGCTCAAACACCTCCAGAAGCACCAGAGAGAAGAAATAAGGGAGCTTCTGTGCACTTCAATGGAGGATTATACTCCGTCTGACGTGAATCTCGAGGACTTTTTTCAGAATGGGAAGTACGAATGTGAGGCAGCCAGGAAAGCAGGCTTGCCCCGGTGGGTACTCGATGCTTTGGCAAAAGGTAAGCTGGCCCCATTCATCAGCGATGCCCTGATACTAAGAAGTACCTTCCTCCATGTTCAGGTGGAGAACATGCAGAGACCTAGCGCGCATAGCACAGCTTTGCCCATTCGACAAGTTATCTATGGACTGCTTCTGAAAGTATCTCAAAATACTGAAGCTGCTTCTCCAAGTAAGCAGACCAACGAGCTGCCAGTTGTATGTGAATTTGACAGACTCCAAAAGACACTTAAAAAAACATTTGTTCAAGCAGCAAGCCTACCCACAGATTTTTGTGATGGTCATTTTCCTTTGGACAAGTTAATGGAGGTAAACGATTGTCACAACAGATCACGGTTAACGGTGTTCCACGAGCGACAAAGAATAGTTGAGACTCGTGTTTGCCAACTGGTCACTAAATGTGCTGCCTAAACCGAGCCACCTCAGTAAATAACTACTTACTGCAGAGGTACCTAACAGGGCTCCAAGTCCTTGAGAAGCTACAGATTGCCTTTATCTTCTTCCCTTCCTGCCCTCCACCCCCCCGCCAAGTGTACCAAGACAAATTACATGGAAAGAGTACATGAAAAGTTAGTTGTGTGTATATGTAGTATTGCCTATATTTTCATTCTAAGCCCTTCTTTCATCCTACGTATTCTGTTACACTAATACTTTTATAATGATAGGAAGGAACTCAGTTTCATGAAATTTAGAAAAGTGCAGTTTAACACTACAAAACTTAAATTATATTTGATCAAGCGGTAGATGTTTCAGAGCAATGTTCTGAAACAAAGTCTGACCCATGCTTTTTTTTTTAAACTAAAAATCACCATTATGTCATGTATGAATCTTGCAGTTGCCCAGCAATTTTACCTGCCCTAAGTATGTGTCCTGCTAACACGGACCCCTGCTGCTTGCCATACAGACCTGCACCCGAAAAAACAGCTTGTAATCAAAGGAAAGTTGTGCTAGGTTAGTTCCAGTCACCATTAGCAATTTTGTGTATTTAAATTCTAATGATTAAGACTTCAATTTGTTGTGAATGGAAAGTAATGTCCCATTCCCAAAGTTGCATAACTGAGGTTTTGTATGCAGTAATTTCTGAAACATCTGGAAATACAATCTGTGTCTTTTAATACTGCATATTTAAGCCATGTGCTCTATCCATTCTGGCATTCAGGTCAACTGTTAACACATCTCTCTCTGGGCTGTGCTGTATGTTTTTATCACTTGCTGGTGGCTATTTCTTACAAGAACCAAGTCTATCACTACTACAATCATTAAATGCTACAGATAGCTATGGATCAAAAGGCCTACATACAGGTTATTTTACACAGGTTATTGTTACAGGCCTTTTAACTGACCAATATGCAAACACTTGAGTTTGAAAAATCATGTTTTGGGATTTTGAGAAATATTAGTGACACCTTAATTTCGTCTTGGTATGTATGCTGTTTGTTTAATGAATTTGAGCTTCCGCTATTGTAACAGTGTGTTAGTATTCCTTACTAATATATGGGAATTACCAATTCAACCAAAGGTTAGAAGAAAAGTTATTCTACATTTAAAGTGCTCTAGGCAAAACTGATTTCAGTTTGTCTTCTACTGTGGGGATGTCTACCTAAGAATAGGCAAAGCCATCCTCGTCAAGGTTCACAAAGCACTTGAATTACAATTGAACAGCCTCCTGCGATTCTTCTGCATGCATGAAGTTATAGACAAAGTTTGTAACACCACTTTTTAGAAGTTAAGTAGCAGAACAAAGAGGGAACGTGCTAGGGATTGATATGTTACAGGTAGAAAATGCAAAGTTCACACTCAGGATTTCATTGTGATTACAGGTAAGTGTGTTTTCAACATACAAGAACAGACATCACCATTACATCTGCAAAGCAAGGCTAACTTCTAAGAGGCACAAAATGAAGGATTTTTTTAATACATATATATTTATCATACCAAAGTAATTTTAATGCTTCATGGTTACAAGATTTTTCCAAGCAAGTCAACTTTTACACAGGAGTTCAAATTCAGTCACCTGATTTGAAGAAGAATGAAACCTCTTAAAATCTAATCTCAGGCAACTGTAAAAAAATTACTTCTATCCTTCTACCTAACACCTAACTGTGTAGTTTTTAAAGCTTAAGCAGTATTTAAAAATATTTCTTGTTGAGAATATCTATGAAACTTGCATAATTTTTTTATTGCAAACACACATGAAGTACTAGCTAGTTTAAACACAAGCTTATTTGCCTTTTGGAAATTGCTCACAGCAAATAAAGTCTCTTACCTTTATTTTTCTACTCCAATTTTTTAATTTATTTTCAGGTGCCCATGTCATGCCGTCAGATGCTTTTGCTGGAGACTCTAGGAGTGAAAATGAGTTTCCTAGAATCTATCCCCAGTCACTTACAACTCCCTGTTGCTGTAACATGTTACTGGATATGTTACTCAGAACCAAAAGTTAAGTTGCATCAATTAAAGGCTTTACTTCTAATGATGGTATCTGGAGAACTGCACAGAATAACAAATGATCCAGGTATGTCTCCAAAGAATACAATTTTAGATGTTCCGCTACTATGAAAATCTATACTATAATTCATTTTTCCTCACTTATGGCGAGTTGTCCAAATTCAGATGAATTAGCATTGATTTACTCAGGATTTACATCCTGAAGTGTCACATTCTTTGCATTGATCCAGAGCAGAGAAGCAGTGCTAGCCATCAATTTAACGTTTTATATAGGGTAAAACAGTGCTTTGCCATCTTGTAAAACACTGATTTGCACTTATAAATGCTTTCTTTCAGACTAAAAGATCAATTTAGATATAAAAGTTACAAAAAAAAAGCCTAACATACCTATGCATCAAAAGAGAGTAACTGCTAGTGATGCATTCTGATAGGGTTTTTTTCTCCTCTTGAGATTTTCTAAAATCATCTGTACTTAAAAATGCTGAGTTGCACAGGCACTGTGCATTGAGACAATTTGAAAGTACTAAATTATCCCAGAAAGTGTTTCTAATAATACTTAAACCTATAAGAGTTATGGTGGCATTTCCTCTAGGAGTCCTTCATTTGATGGCAAAGATTACATATGCCAGGGTTATACAGTTTCTTTAGGTTCTCGTTTATAGAAACTAGGCTGATGTGGTTGCCACCTGCTTCCCAAGTGGGTGGGAACAAGATGGAAATCTTGTTTGGAATTGATCCACTCACAGAACAGCATAGCAAATTACCTAACAAACAGAATTCCTGACTTTGCAATTTCAGATTCTCATGGATATTGATACTTGAATTTGTACTCAATTTTAGGTCTTAAAATTCAGTTTGAGACACTTGAAAACATTACCAATGCTTCCTGAAATAGAACTGGAGGTTTGAAGACTCTATACATTGCAGACACCTTTCATACTGTTCACAGCAGAACATTTAACTGCACGTCATTTTTTTGTATAACCAGATCCCACAGTTGTATGTGCTGAAGATGACAGTATTGCATATAACGAATTTCTAAAATGGAAGGAAAAGAAATTACAAAATAAAGACTTTGATTTAGATGCTGCACACAGTTTTTGCCAGTGGCAGTGCTGTCTTCAAATGGGATTGTATCTCAACCAGCTACTTTGCACTCCTCTCTCCGAGCCAGACCTAACTTGGTAAGGATGTTTCAGAGATCTGCTTTCCACACAAGCCCCTCATGAAACATGTTCACATGTTGTTTTATTTTCTGTGTCAAACTCCTTTGACCAATTTTACTACATTTGAACTCCCTCCTTTAAAGACATTAATATGGAGAAAAATACTGAGTAGAATAGCTATCCCTTAGGAGCCCACTGTTGGATCCTGTATGTACTTAAAATATGTTTGTTTCACTAAGCAGCATGTTTTTCTGTATGTGTCCTGCTGAGGTGCAATTCTAAATGATGATTCTCTCCTTCGAGCAGGCTTTACAATGGAACCCTTGTGCACAGACTGTATCAAGAGCTTAAATCAACACCTTCAGTGGAAAATCTGTTTAGTTCATCTCCAAAGATGACTCTGCTTTATCAGGTTTTGTTAAATATGGTGGAGTCAACTGTACCTCCAGACTTCTTTCAGAAGATGACCAAGACCAAATCTGAGTCCTGCAAAAAGAAAGCATCTAGTAAGAAAAAAAAGGCCATCAGGTGTGCTATACCAGAAAATCAGCATTTATGCAATGTTAATAGGTTTGCATCACTTGGAGTGGATGACTGAAAGTGTTATTCCTGAAATAACTTTTAATGCCATGCAGATGGAAGAAATTGTATTAAAATATGTGACTATTGGAATTTGCTCAGCTGTTTTCACACAAGTTCTGGATGCAATTTTTACTCAACAATTCTTATTTCAGGGAACTTTTTTTATATACTACTTTTGTAACTAACACTCTTATAAAAGAGGTGCTTTATATAAGTTGTGGTGTTTTGTTTTTCTTTAAAAGGTATCTGTCTACTTGAAAATGACAGCAAAATTATTCAGCATTTCAGAGCTGGACTATTTTAGAGGAATTCTTTTCCTATAGTTGGCTATACCTCTATCTCCCTGAACACTTCTAAATTCCAGAAAATCAGGTTTTTTCAATTTGTTTTTGAAGAACACAGTCATTACGATCTTACAGATCAGATTAAAATGGAAATTGACAAGTTTAAAAATATTGTAGCATCAGTCTTTGCAGGTAGAGCATTTGTACTTCTGGGGAGAGCTAGCTTTACTTGGTGACAACTAAGTTGTGCTTGCAGTATTATAGGTGCTGAACTATACTGAGGGAGAAACTTTAGCCTCTCTTCCCCCCCCCCCAGTTTGGTATGCAAGAGTTAAATGCTTACATGCATACACAAAGCTATTACATGGTAGCAACTTTCAGCAGGTTTGCTAATTCAGAGTAATTTTTTGAGCTCTTCTGCCATTAACAAACTGTTGTCATTCAAGTTAACCTCCTTTCTCTAATGGCTGTAAAAGTACGTGCCCCAAGGTACACTAAGTTACTTGACAAACCCTTACTATCAACATGGTAATACTAAAAAAGTTTGTATCTAAAAAAAATCCTACATCATCAGTATTTTGCAGTTTTTTGTATTAGGTAACTTTCTAGCAAAATTAGTCAATTTACATAAGTGCTTTTTGTACAGAACTATTGTTTTTCCTATTGTCTTCCCCATGTGAAACCAAAATAACGATTTCCAGCTTTCATCATTAAAGTTTTGCCCATTACTTACCAGAATTCAAGCTTGATTCCTGCATCATCATACGCTCAGTTTTCAGCCCTGGTTACATTCTGTATCTGACAGCTATCCACATGGAAGTAACTCACTAGATCTTGTGACTTACAGGAAGGATCTCTAATATCATACAGCTGAGTCTTGATACTGCCATAATATATTCAATGAGAGAATAGATTTATAACATCTATTAAATTAATGAGACTATTTTTGAGTCTTCCAGTACAAAACTGCTACTTATTAAACTACCAGCAGATGGCACCTATGCTCAACCATATAGCAAGTTACTAGAACTTTACAACCACTTCTAAATAGACTTCAATTTGCAGCAGCCTGCAAAGTCACATTTCTATCAGGTGACTTTAAGTTGAAAGGGGTTAAATTTAAAGTTCTTAGTTTTGGTAATTAAAACTTAAGTCCTTAATCATCCAAATCATCCTCTGATCCGTTATGATCCCACATGTTTACTGTAAAGTTTGTAGTTCCTTTTGGTTTTTAATAATCAGAAATAGTCACCTTTAAAATAAATCTTAAATATAAAAATAGAAGCATGTTTGATTCCACTTTATTAGTGCTGTGAGAAGAGAGATCTTAATGTACTCTGAATCCCATATTGGAAAACTGCTGGAGAACATAAGTTCTTGAGACTTGCTGAGCAGCAGCATCTTCAATTAGTTCAGAAGACAGGGATAAACTCAAATATTCCACTTTTGGCTAAAAATGCTGCTATGATCACATGGCATTTTGAGAATACCTTTGGAGTGCTGACTCAATGATTAAGAATTACTCTACTGGAAATGTGTTCTCAATGCAGAATTCAGCTGTTCTTTGTTGCTGATAAAATTAAATACACCTCATTGCAAACACCAATCCTGTACACTGAAGAAAATAATTACTGATTCTAGGGTTACTATGCAGAATTTAAATGGAGTGTTCCAGTTTTCCTTTTTGAGTCATTATAGGTTTTCAATCTTCTTTGTAGGAAAAATAAAAAAGTGCTTTTACTTACTAAAACTGAAAAGTTCTTTATTCCATGCTTTACTAAGAGCAACTAAATTTGTTGGTTGCTGTCTATTTTTACCCCACATGAAATGCCTCTTGATTTTTCTGGTAAGATACCACTATTGATTCAGTTGCTCTGGAGAAAAATCTCTCAAACTTGGGTGTTCGGTGGTAATGATCAAGAGCAGAGCCAAAAAAAAATGGCAATGGAATTCAGTCCAAGCATTTTTTATAAAAAATGAGATTGAGCTAGATTAATTACTCGTTATTGTTTCATCTTCCATTGGAAGACAGCAAAACTTAGTTTGGCCTATTTAAAGTGAATTGCATTCAATTAAGTTCACCCTGCAAGAAGGCAAAATTGTTCTTAAGAGACTGAAATTTTATTTCTTGTCTAGACTGGCATACCTATTCAGAAAGTGAGACTTGTGCTGGGAAAGGGGTACTTCATAAAACTTGTTTAAAGACTAGGCAGTAACACTTCCAAGCTCAGATGACAAATTGGCATTCATCTGCACTTCTGTACTTAGCTGGATTTCTGGGACTCCAAGTGCAGAGCACAAAGCAGTCAAATCCCATGGAAGAATATCAACAACAAGTTAAGACTTAATATGTGAAAGGTATAGTTGCTGTACTTTTTGAACACCCAAGTTCATTCAAGAGATTCATCAGCATGCATTGTCAGTTTCTACTAGCTGTACTAAGGATTTTATTAATAAGTGTTCTGAAAATGTATTGAAATACTGAACACGCAACAATACTGAACAACTACAGCCCCACTTGCCAAAGATGGTAATAGTTCAACAGGAGGAACACTGACAAATCTGTTCAACTTCTGAAAGGCAGAACTGCTGGAAATAAGAAACTTTTGCATGAAGACATGAGAGCATTTCTGTAAGAGGGCATCTTGTTCAGGCCCTACCAGCCCAGTGGTTCACATAACATCCTGCAGGAAAAGACAAGGGCCATATGCTGCACTCTTTGCCTTTACACAATTAGATCTCCAGCACACTGGTAGTCCAGGTAATAAGTGCATATTGAGCAGGCCCGGGGTCAGCCAGAACAATGGATGAATTGCATGTGTAAAGCAGACTCAGTGATGCACTCATGTCCTGTCTGCCAGCCCCACTTCCTGACCCAGTCTGGGAATCTCCAGAGGAAAAAAAAAAAAAGACAACAATTATTAAAATAACCTCTTAGCAGATAAATTAATACAGCACTTTCCGAACGGCCTCGTTTCCCACAAACTCCCCAGATTTTGCACATGACATGTGGGGCAAGCCACAAAGGTAAGTGCAGGAATATCCCAGTGCCAGTTTACAACAATTCCTCATTAATAGACAGGATGACCATCGTGACAGCATGGCCCAGAACCAATACCAATGCTACACTTTCAGGCTAGCGTGAAGAGATCTGTATCCACATGCTTTCAAGCAGGAGACACCATTATGTCTCTCAACTCCCCCTAGAGATCCTAGGCATCCTCTTTTCGAGATTCCCTAGGTGATTGTTCCTTGCATTTCCTCAAGGGATGAGGAGTCCTACTCTGATGAGAAGACATTGATGACAACAGCTGCAAGTCTATTTTGAGGAACACCATTTCCAATTAGTGAATATTAGAGTATTCAGACATTGTCATATATTACAAATACTTTTAACAGATCAAGACACAAATCTACTACAATGCTTTTCTAGCCACAAGAAGTCATTCTGTAGGTTAAAATTTTAAGTTAGACTACCAGTAAAAAGTTTATTTTTATGATCAGGGTGGAAGAAGGAATAGGAAGGAAAACCAAGCTTCTTTGAAAGAAGGGTGTGGGGTTTTGCCATTAGAGTGAGGATTAGTGCATTCATTTTCTAATTCAATACACTACAAATCATTTCAATAACAGTACTGTCTTACAATCACTCAAGTGATCTAACAGTTATAAGTGGAAGTAAATATGGAACAAGACATGAAACAAAGCTTGTACCTAAAATTATACCAAAATAAGCATACTAGTCTGGTGTAAATGCCAGTTTCTTTTAAAACAAAGAGACAACACACTTTTAAGAAAAGCAAACATTTACTTCAAATTGCAGTATAGGCTTTTCAATCACAGAAAAAGAAAAGAAAAACAGTGATCCGACAGCGGTCACATCCTGTGCAAAAAAAAACCTCGGGATACAAAAAAAACTGTAGCACAAGGTACTTGAGCCGCTTACACATTGCAGGATAAAGTAAATAAATACAGTAGCTAGAATATGGCACTCTTGTGACAGTCTCTAAACCCAGTGGAATGCCTCTGAAATATTTTTTTATCCTTGTATTAGTAGCAAAGTCCCACCACCGTAAAAGTAAAATAGTACAATGTTTTAAATAAAAACAAACTAAAATATTTATATCTAAGAGAAGGATTTTACACAGTTATATCTTTTAAGTGCAGAAAATGGGACTTGGGCTTAGATCTTTCTTTAAATTAAATCCCACACACACAAAATCCCATTCAATCTGAAAAGTAAATTTATGTTTGAGGAAAAATGTTACCAAAGTTGCATAATTTCATTTGTTACTCCCACAGCTGGAAGTTAATTCTAAACAGTCTTGAAATATGAACGTTCATCATTAGCCAGTGAAACAAAGGACTTGTCAAAAGCCCTCAGGATTTCTTTATCCTCCAAATATTGTTTTGCTTTCTCTTACATCTTTAGACAGCAGTCCCTAAGTTTGCAAACAAAAGAATGCAATATGCATCATACATCAAGAAAAGATGAAGTTGACGAAGAAGAACTTCCACGTTTCTGGATCTTTTCC